TGAGCAGATCAGGAAAAATTAAATGTGATGGGAAAGCCTCCACAGGTTCTTTGCACTCTGTTTCCACTATTATCACATACATGCTTTCCCTCATTATTTTGAGATTAAGTCTGAAAATTTTAAGCCTCCCAAAATAATGTCCAAAAAATGTCCAACCCTGCCAATGAGACATTTGGTATCTCATCATAGCACAGAAGTTATGATATGAGCTGCTCACACTGTCTTCACCGAGAACATTTCTATTGGAAATAGGTGGATGCTTTCTTTAGCTTAGTTTCTGAGAAAAAAAGCAGTGTCTCAATCAACCTCATGCACTATGAAACATGGCATGTACATTTCTTTTAAGTTCTTTCTGCAGGGGGAAAAAAATACCCAAACCCAAAACAGATTTCTGTGGACTTTCCCTTGTGCCCAGCACATAACATTTTCTGTAAAATGTCATCTGCTACTCCTACGATTCATCTTTGCGCAGCTCAGACTCCAACAATGGTGTTGTGGTGTTGTGTTCGGGCTGCACAGCCCTGAGCCATCCCCACTGCCCCTCCTCTGAGCAGCGGTGAGTTCCACCCAGTTAATTCACTGGTAGTTCAGTTACTTACCACAGAGACCCGGAGAGGTGATTTGCAGCACAAGCACAAGAGAAGTGAAGAAGGAACGATGGTGAACCGCAAGCCTGGCGGGATGCTGGACTAAAGCTAGTCTAGTAAACTCCCTCATCTTCCTAAGTGCAGACACAGCGGCCTCAGCACTGACTGTTAATGCCGATAATTCACCAAGTATGTTCTGTCTGCAAGCATGAAATTCTTTGGGATCTCAAGGAATTTATAACTTCTACAAAATGAATGCATTTAAGTAATACTCTACTCTTAAAATTGTACAATTATCTTCCTCAAGATTCCACTCTATGTTTGCTACTTTCTTTAAAGTGGCAAATAAGTGGCTTAAATTAGTGACCATATGACAACCACCTCAGTAATTTGGGGTAGAATTTCTGGAAGGATGGATGTTGAGTCAGGTTGGGACTACCTACACTGCCACGTGACTCAAAGTGTAAGTGTGTAGATTACATATCAGGACAGGGAGATTTAGATTGTGTGTCAGGAAGAAGTTCTTCACAGAGAGAGCGGTGAGGCACTGGAACAGGTTGCCCAGAGAAGCGGTGGATGCCCCATCCCCGGAAGTGTTCAAGGCCAGGCTGGATGAGGCTTTGAGCAACCTGGTCTAGTGGAAGGTGTCTCTGCCCATGGCAGGGGGGTTGGAACTGGATGGTCTTTAAGGTCCCTTCCAACCCCAACCCTTCTGTGATTCTATGATTCTAAATCCTAAATCTTTTAAATAACATAGCTCTCAAACATTTTTCAATCAGGGACTTCAGCACCTTATGTATTTTTGTGTTCACTGCTTTCTTCTAGTAAAACAAAACAAATGAAGCAGAAGGAAGACATGAACTGAAGACACAAGCACAGCCATAAATTAAGGGTTACTGCTCTAGAAGCTCATGTTTTTATATACAGAGACCTAATGAAAACTTGGGATGCACTGGCCGCTCATTCTAGCATTAGGAGTTGAATGGAAATGTTTCCTCAAGAAGTGAGTCAAAAAAGGCCCTCGTAACAGAGTATGACAACAGAAGGTTATACCTGTATAATAACATATCAGTTTCACTCTCCAGGGAAGTAAAGCTCACGCTTTTGAACACAACTAATATTTGAGACATGTTTAAGACCTCTGCTGAATACTGAAATACTTCTAGTACCCGCTGAAAACAAACTATACACTATAAAATACACACACTGCTTCCTTGTGGAAAGCAATTGTTTAACACAAACAGGCAAATAAGTTGCAGTATGTTTGGGCTTTCCAATCCCTCAAAAAGCTGGTGTCAATTTTTGTGATTTAAAACACGGTACCTAAGTAAAGATGTAAAAGAAAGAGGACTGAGTGGAGTAGTCATGAAAGGTTTACTCAGGTTTCTAACCAGTCTGTCAGGCCATGCCAGTACCTTGGAGTGTCCTTTAGCTCAAACACGTTCTAGGCTAGACAACTCTTTTGAAGACTTAAAAAGAGGACAGTTATTTTATACTGAATAAGTTAACAATTTAGACAGAAAAAAACCCTCACAAAACCCACTACATGTACAATATGTTACTTAAGGAGAGCCCAACACAATACCAAGCATTCACCAGCAATAAAGCCATAAAAAACTCACAAAACTATCATTTCACTGTTATCATTAATCTGTATCATGGGTTTTATAAAAAAGAACTGGCAAGTGATATTTTCATGTCTCACAAAAAAAAAAAAAAGAGGGTAGACATGAAAATTAGATTATGCAAATGTAATTCCTGGAGTCATCGTGTCAATGCACATCTAAGCATCTCGGACATTATAAGGGTATTTCTGATAAAACACAAACTACAATTGAACATTTTTGTCTGTAAGAAGAACCCTGACATCACAACCACCATAAACGAAACCATGTATGTGTCTTACCTGATAAAAGCAGTATAAGAATTACAGCAAAGATGTCGGGATACTCTGCTAGCCCAGAGGAATTCATTTTTAAGTAGGTTCTGAACACATGACCGATCTGTTTTCCAAGAAGTTCATCAAATGTGCCACTCCAGGCTCTCGCTACGCTTGATGTACCTTTACAAAACACATACATGTTTAGGGTTTTGCAGACATACAAGGATACAGCTACTTCTACTGAAAAAAAATTAAGCATGTTGCTACTTACATTTTAAAAAGTTGCGCTCGTGTTATAACAGTGATTTTTTTTTTTTGCCAAGGGATTTTAACATTATATAATTTTTCTACATAGTTAAATGATAAGTTATTATTCCACAACGAAAATATTTTGTACCTCATCTATTCCCAAAATATTGCAGAAATTATTTCTTATAATTTATATCTGATGTCATTCTGGAAGACACTTATTTCTGAAGCTACAATATGGTGTAAGTTATTCAGTATAAAGCAATGTAAGAAAGAACATGAAGGGAAGTTAGTTCATCTGGAAGTAAAGCAAAAAATCACTAGGAAGATGTATATTGCTGGAGGCAGTATTTAAGACTAACACTCTCCTCTGGTAAAGTGTGTGTGTGGCCACAGCTCAATACAATCTTACTTTTGCCACTCTCCTATCAAGAAATACACTTTAATACAATACTTGGGCATCTTGCAGTGGTTTGGGTAACAGTTCTGTAGTTAGCTATACATATGCAGCCAGGTGTGGTTGTATACAACACAATGGATGCTTGGAACACGTACCTCTGGAAGAAAACATTTTTGAATCAAAAAACATCTCTGCTAAAGCACTGAAATAATTATTTAAATATCTGCCATATAAGCACTGATTTTATTCAGATGTGGTCAATTTTGTATTTTATGGGATTACATGATAGGACACCACTTAATTAGCATGAGGTTATAGTAACAAGTTAGTACTTAAACTTCCTGAGTTTGTTGAAGTGAGATACTATAGTGATGGGGTCCCTGTAAATGTCCTTGCTGTGTATATTCAGGAACAAAATACTTATTGATTTTACTGAAATTATTTTTGTTGACCAAAGACAGCAAAGAAATCCTGTTTATTCTTGTGCATCCTCACTGAACTGTCTGACACAATTTTCATACAAGTTACTCAGCCCACGCTGCTGAAGACAGACTGTTTGAAAAAGCATCTTGCAAAATATCTGTATACAATGGTGATGCGCAGGAGGAAGCAACCTAATCAAGCTACCTTGGCTATTTGATCCCAGCAGGAGTAAAAAGCAATAGTAGCTAAGGACAGACAGAAGACAGACCTAAATCCGTATCTTTTATCTGCTGCCTCAAAAACCCTTGAGACCTGTGTTTGTTCTTAACCTTACCTATTACATAGGATAAAATGAGATTCCAACCAGTGATAAAAGCCCACAGTTCACCGACGGTTACGTAAGTATACAAATACGCAGAACCAGTCTTGGGAACGCGAGCACCAAACTCGGCGTAGCAGAGACCTGCCATCACAGATGCCAGCGCAGCAATGAGGAAAGAAACGATGATGCTAGGTCCAGAATCGGATTTGGCTACTTCCCCAGCAAGGACATAAACACCAGCACCAAGGGTACTCCCTACTCCCAGGGCTATAAGGTCCACCGTCGACAAGCATCGGCACAACTTGGTGTCCTCCAGACTTTCACCACCGACATTCTTCTTCCGCACCAGACACCGAACAAAGGACAAAGCTGGTCCACAGGGCAACATGCTGGATGTAGAGCTCTGAAATAACATAAATCATTACAGTACATAAAAGGCAGCATGGATATTGGTGAAAACCAGGTAAAGAAATATACTGCATATAGAACTTAAATCACACCTACCAATTTATACATTTACACTCTTCTATAACATTAAATAAGCCGACATGCGCTTTTTCCCCAGGAAACATATTAGGGGTTCAGTATTCCTAATTTTATATTTAGCACTTATTTCCCCAGGAAAAGATATCTATTATCTTTCGGTTTACTACACTGCTGTAAAAAAAGGAGAAACTGTTTCTATTTATCTGCTGATGGCCACTCCTTATCCATTTCTAAACCAGAACCAACGTCGATTATGTTGTATATCATAAGGACTGTTAAGACAAGGATCAGCACCAACATAAATAAGGATTTTAAGATCTAAAACTCCAGCACCAAGGCTATAAACACCAAAAGCTTTAAAATGTAATCCTCTGACAGAGCCAATGCCATCTCCTTTTTCCTTCAAATAGATGACTTTTGCCTTTAGAATTTACTTCAGTAAAAACTGCTTGAAAGCAGATTAAAATAGTATTTCTACACCCTCCCACACCAATTAAGTTTCCCAGAACTAATTATCTTCACATGAAATCTCAACCAACTCTCCCTGACAACCATCTAACAAAACCTGATGGGGTAAGTGTTCATCCCATGCCGGGTGCAGTTCTTCACTATTCTGAGTGCACGTTGCAGTATGGGGTGCGACCAGCTCTTGTGACCAGCTAGGCCCTGGAGGCCAGCCAGTGGGCAGTGCTTCTCTGGCCTGTCATATGGGTGCCTGCTCAGAGAAACAGCAGTGACCCTGCTTCCCAGCTCAACAGAATGGTAGCCAATACTTCAATCCACGAACAGCAATGACTGCATCAAGATGGACAGCTCACTTAACAGTGTTTGATCCTACAATAAAGAGTCAGAAGCAAGAGAACTGCCATCCTGATATGAGATTGCTTGGAAAAAATCCCCTTGGGTATGGAAAAGAGAGAGAGAGAGAGAATCAAAGAATTGTTTAGGTTTGAAAAGACCTTTAGGATCATCAAGTCCAACCTTTAACCTAACACTGCCAAGTCCATCACTAAATGATGTCCCTAAACACATGTATTAAACACGTCCAGGGAAGGGGACTCCACCACCTCCCTGGGCAGCCTGTTCCAATGCCTGACAATCCTTTTGGTGAAGAAATTTTTCCTAATATCCAATCTAAACCGCCCCTGGTGCAACTTGAGGTTGTTTCCTCTTGTCCTGTCACTTGACACTTGGGAGAAGAGGTGCCTTCCCTAGCTGGCTCACTCACCAGCTGTGTCCGAAAGTTACCTTCTTCTGCACACTCCAGGAACCTTCAAGACTGTCTCCTCTCCGCTGCACTGTATTTCCAGCAGACATCTGGTAAGTTGAAGTCCCCCACGAGAACAAGGGCTAGTGATTGTGAGACTTCTCCCAGCTGCTTACCCTATCCTGATTGCGTGTTCTGCAACAGACTCCCACCATGATATCTGCCTTGTTGGCCTTCCCCGTGATTGTTACTAACAAGCACTCAACCATATGATCACTCTACACAATGAAAACAGTCCCTAACATACAGGGCTGACCTACCACCTCTTTCCTTGCCTGTCCCGTCTGAAGAGTTTGTGGCCGTCCACTGCAGCACTGAAGTTGTGTAAGTCATCCCACCATGTTTCCATGATGGCAAACACATCAGTTTTCCCACTGTGCAATGACTTCCACCTCCTCCTGTTTGCTGCCCATGCTGAATGCATTGGTGTAGAGGCACTTCAGCTGGGCTACTCATCCTGACACCTTTTTGATAGGAGAAGCCCCATCCCTACATGACCGTTGTCAGGTGCTTCTGTGGTTTCTAACACATCAGTAGGCCCTGCATCTTTGCTGACCCATGGATTTCCATGCCCTACCTCAGACCAAAGGACCTTGCTAGCATTCTGTCCCTCAAACATTGGCATGCTGCCCCTAGGCTTACCTCTAGCAAGGTTTTATCCCATTCCCTAGTTCATCCCATCAAATCTAGTTTAAGAGCCCTACTAACTCCTGTGCGGGAGGAGTTTTCCGCCTTTGAAACACGTGTATCCTCTTTGTGCCAGCAGCTCTGGTGTCATATAAACAGAGCCATGATAAAAAAACCCCAAAATTCTGCCAGTGACACCAGGCTCAGAGCCAGGTATTGATCTGCTGGGTCTGTGCAAAAACATTTTCTCCCTCCTCCTGTAATAGCTCCCCACGTACACTCGGACATGCCACTTCTGTCTTCAAAAAGCAGTCTTAAAAAAAGGTCTACATTCTCTTTCAAGGAAAGGGAAGTTGGTAAAAGGTAGTGAATGGAATTTAATAGCTCTGGGCAATGGTGCTTAACGCCCCTTAAGAAGGTGATAGCTGCCCCAGGGCAGGGGAGGGAGGCAAGACAGGCAGGTTTCCAAAGCCCTGCTGCAATTAGGCAGTCCTTTCAGCCCGCCAGACTCCCAGAGATATGTACCTGCCCATGGCGTGCAGACTTCATCCACTGAGGAGACTTCACACACCAGCGTCACAATTAAGAAAATGTGCATGTGGACAGACAAAAGATATCCATAAGCTCTCCCGAGGGCAATCAGCATTGAACTGCTCAGGCAAAATGCCCCGCTGTAGCTCCTGAACTCATCAGTAAGAGCAGCCTTTCTTTGGGCCTGAGGCTGAGGCACTCCACTCCCCCAAAGTCAGGTTTGAAGATCCTGGACTGTACTTTGACAAGTACTCCCAAGGCCATTATGGAGTTTTTTCCCCATAATGACACTTCTGAAACTGTAACAATCACTTAAGATGTTATGTTAAAGTACACATGTATATCCATGGCCACAGGCTCTTGTGATTCCATGCCCTTCACCTTAGCAATTTCAGTGTTGCAGAAACATGACATTTTTATTAGGAATTATTTCCCCCACTCCCCAGTGATAGTTCATTTGGTATTTCACTAACAGGATAAGCTACTCTAGCAAACTCTCGGAACACTAAAGAGATTCCAATCCTTTTGTTATTCAAACAGCATCTGGCTCTGCTCCTTTGCAATTTGGGACAAGTAGTCCTGAAGGTTGTAAAGTTATCTAGTGCAGTGGCCAGGTGGGTGACATTATGGTTTTCTCTCCCGAGAAGGAATCCTTGTGACAAAACAGGAGTTTTTTTCCTGCTTCTACTTTCTTGCAGAGATGGCAGGAGGGTGGTTCTTGCTAGCCACAAGCTAGTAAGACGAAGTACCTGTTCTGACTCCAACCCACTCTTTCTTCTTTAGCTTTTAAAAACTGGAGCACAACCAAAGACAAAGTTCAAGATACAAACTTTGTGTCTGCAGAGAAAAAAAAATATCTGATACACATGAGAAACTCTCCTTTTAGGTATATCCACCCTAACATTGGCTTGATGAACACACATCCTTGTATGATGACCACTGCAATCCAGAACGTCTTACCACTTGTCTCCTATAGTTACTATGCACATGTGCATAATAAACAATGTCTGAACACAGCTTCACAGCTTCTCTTGCCGTGCACCAAGTGCAAAGCACCAGCTCAGACATGGCCACCTTTCACAGCTGGCCAAGACACCCCATGACTGCAGAACTGATCACTTCATACCCCGTACGAAGGTGCAGCAGGAAGAAAAGATGAGCTTAGGAGGCTACTTGGCCCCACGCAGGACCAAATGACATAGGTAAGTGGCGATACACATCTTCAGAGATCGCAGAGAGGTGTAACCTTTTTCTGAGGTGCCCCTTGTAGGACAGACCCTTTCATGCACTATGCCCTCGGAAAGCACAGCCGGGGCTCTGCCCCAGTGCTGCGCACAAGCTCGACTTATCCCAACGCTGCACCCGAGCACGCCCAAACGCAGACCTACCGAAGCCTAGAAGGTTACAGCCTTTTGGTGGCAGTATCGTCCTAGACAAGCGTACACTGACTGCAACCACACACACTCGTAAAAAGGGTCTTCCTCCTGCCCCGTACAAGTGGGCAAATCTCACTGTTTCCGTTCCTGTGGAACTTTAGGACAGATTGGAACATGAAGTAGCATGAGTGAACACAGAAATAAATGATCTCTCCTACTTTTTGACCAGTAGGTCTCAGTATTTCCTAACTGCTCCTTATTACTTCCTCCTTGCCCGGTTGCTGTCTAAGCCTGCCTCGTCCTAGGAGAACGCTGTGGCCTCTGCTTCCTCCGAGCCCTCCTGGGGAGGCACATTGACAGCTTAAGAAATTGGGGGGTTTGGCAATATACTGGGTAATCAACGGAGAAGGAAGCAAGGTCTCTTAATGCTCTGCTGCTGAGCCTTCTCTGAGGCACCCATCCCACGTTTCTTAGGACAGGGCGGGAGACCTGCCTGCCTCTGAACAGTGGCATTGGGCATGTCGCCTGGAAGGGTGATCAGTCACGGTGGGCTGAGCCTTTCATGCAGTTTAAACAAAGACTGAATCCTGAGCTTGTGCAGCATTTAAGCATAGGAAGTCAGTGATAAGAAACCAAAAACGAAAAAGCCCTTGCACTCACCAACCGTGTGCAGCTATTTCTAATTCAGGTGAGGAGCAGACCCAACCTGCTGCTTCTCCCGGGCGTTCAAACCTGCACTCGGCTCCCCTTTGGCAAAGTCTACTTTGCAGGGACATTCGTCACAAGCAAACACCTGTGAGGCCCATTTGTCACTGACCTTGGCACGTTCCTTCTCCTGCCTGCAACTGAGGAGGCAGCTCCCTGGCTCCGCGTGCACTGGGTCACTGCGCTCCTGAAGTCTCTGGGCACTCGGTTTTTCTTTAGCTACAGATTAGTCTGTAACACAGAACACACCTCCAACAGCCCTCCAACAGCCAGGGAGGCCCCCAATTCGGCTGCCCGAGACTTCAGGACCAATGTTCAGCCCATGCTCAAGCCTCCACCTTCCTTGAACGCATTCCTAGAAAGAAGCGTAGTGCCACCCACACTGCAGTTTAGTTTTACCCCTTCAACTGCCTGCGACAGAGACAGGTGGGACAGGAGTGCTGGGCTTAGACAGGAAAGGAACTGGACAGATCTAACACAGGGGGAAAATACCCCAAAAGCTTCCTCATATCTAACGGGCAGTCACGGTATTTAGCAGGAACATCTGATGGCTGTCCCTGGTTAGCCCTCTTCTAGCAGGAAAAGTTTGGTGTCAAAAAACTCCTAACTATAAACACAATGCATGGGACAAAGTCTCCATCGGCAAAGTTTGTATTCATCGCTAAAACTGCTTTGACTGCTCCACGGTCATGTAAAATTTACCATTTTTGCAAAGGATTTTCCATGCAAAAATAACCTAAGAGCCTCCTACCCCAAAACAAAACACAAACAGTATTGGAGCTAAATGGTAACCTATATATCACCACACTCTTCCATTAAAACAACATTTTAATTTCATTACGTGTAGTAAGCGGTTTAAGTTATCACACATGAAACCCAAGGTACAGGTGGGAAAACCCAAAGTTTTGCTGCATTTGCCATTCAATTTTTCCTACAAAATTTTCCATTAAAAGCTCTGATAAAAAGAGATACAAATCTCATATGGAAAGTACTGTTATAACGCAATATAAAACCTCTGTTACTTAGATCTATGTTTGAAGATTGATGAAGCAAACATAACTTTGAGATATTTGACTTACTATTTTGTTGAGCTAATATTCTATACGATAATGTAGTAGATTAATATTTTAAACAGCATACCAATTAGGGAGAAAATAGTCCAATAAGTTTATAACATATTGAAAATGGGAAAATATAAATATATACTGATTATATACAGTTTAGAGACTTCCTTCAGACTCATTTTCCTGAAAAAAATGCAGAAGTTTATATTTTATATTTTCCATCTGTAGAATTTAGGAGAAAGTGTTTGTTTGCCCTTAGGTACATTTAGTCTTATTCAAAATCGCAGTATTACATTGATTAGATCTAGTGCAATAATTTATGAAAGCAAAAGAATTCAGAGATGAAACAAAACTAGGTATAGTCTATGATTTCTGTGTACACACGTGCACCAACAATGCATGATTTTACTGCAAGTGTCCTAAAAGTTGATGTGGTGCCCAAGACCTTCACAAAACTCCTAATGTTTTGAACTATTTAAAAGTAGTGTTTTAAATAATACCTAAAGCCCTAAAATTGGAAAGCAGCACCTGTGACAGAAGTCAAATATGTATAAAATGGAAAAGGAGAGCTTTAGGACCCCAAAGCAGGAACTTTCCAGTCAGACTGGGAAGGAAAACATAAATTGCATCTGCTATATATTAACATTGCCATTTGCACTTTGTCAGAGACTTAATAATGCTGTAATGCAAACTAAATGTAATACTGCATACCACAGCTCTTGCTACTCAAAAAGCACATATGTTAAAGGCAAAGTTTCCTGTGATAAGCTGCGTCGCTTTCAGGTTACTACTACTTACTGTTACTTTCAGCAGTAAACTTCCTTACAAACCTGATTCAGAGCAACTTCTGCTGGGCAAACTTCTGCTCCTCTTACCCAGTCCCAAACTTCTGCTGTCCTAAATGGAAGAGGAATGACTGAAAGTGATTTTATTAAAACATTTGCTTTAACAGCCAGCTGTAAATGGCGTGAGAGCCGTTGGTGCTGAGGGGTGGAGGCTCCACAGCCCCGGGTGATTGGAGGGCTGAGAGCCGGACAGCTATTTGCCCAGCTAAGGTGGGGAGGGAGAGTCAGAAAGTCTTGCTGCTGTTTAGATAAATCATACCCACTCTCTTGACGACACAAAATCCAACT